GTGGCATTAAATTCTTGAAGTTTCAGCTGTGGCTGTCTATAATTTCAAAGCACAAGCATCACTGCATCATGCGTTCTGACCTTGAATGTAACAGTACTGTTCTGATGCTCGTCGGAAAATGGCGGTTGAACAGAGAGGCAACATCAAATTTTGTTTGAAGGTAGGCAAAACAGCCACAGAAGCGTACAAAATGACGAAAATTGTGCATGGTAGTGACAGTTTGAGTCGTTCAAACATTTTTTGATGGTATGCTGTATTTTGTGATGGCAGGTATGACATTCAAGATGCTCCATGTGCATCAAAGCCGAGAACAAGTCACACTGAAGAAAATGTGAAAAAAGTGACCGAAATCCTTGCATCAGACAGATGTGTTTCTGCAAGACTCATCGAGGAGGTTTTGGGAATACCACAAAGTACTGTGCATCAAAGTTTGACCGAGGATTTGGGCAAACGGAAGGTCTGTTTGCAGTTTGTACCGCGTGTGCTGTCAGGCGATGAAAAATATGCCAGAGTGGATCACAGCAAAGACATGTTAAGGTCAGCCCAAAGTGATACAAAATTTACAAAATCAATTGTTACTGGTGACGAGACATGGTGTTTTCAATATGAGCCTCTCACAAAGCGGCAGAGTGCAGCGTGGTTGAACCCAAAGAAGCCGAAACGAAAGAAAGTGTGCATGCAAAAGAGTAGAGTAAAGACACTGCTAACCATTTTCTTCAATTCCAAAGGAATCTTTCACAAGGAATTTCTGCCAGAAGGTGAAACAGTTAATTCTGATTATTATCTCGGAGTCCTCAATTGTTTATGGGCAAGAATTCTTCGAATGCCTCATCCTACAAATCGAAGATCATGCACGATTCTTTTGGCTAGAAAAGGGATCGCCAGATTTGGCTCCAGCAGATTTCTGGTTGTTTCCAAAAGTTAAGTTTGGCGATGAAAGGAGACAGTCACACCACACAGGACATCTAAAGGGAATGTACCGCAGTTTTAAATGCGATTCCACAAAAGGAGTATAGTGACTGGTTTCAAAAACTTTTCAATCGATTCCAGTTATGTATTGATTCTGAATACTATTTTGAACAAAAAGAGTGAAATTTTGAAAATAATTCACGTCTTGTATTTTCAATGAACACTGTCCTAAAAGAATCTGGACACACTATGTATGTGTATATAAAACTAATATCAATAAATTATTATTTGTTTTTATTATACATACCACTACACGTTTCAATCAATATGATTACCTACAGGTGCATTACATGAATGTATACTGCTGTCACTGAATTGTTTGACTAATACAGATCTAACAGCACATAGCAAAGTGCATATTTTCATTACATTTATGCACATAACATGTAACTGTTTTATGATATGCTAAAGGTTAAAAATTAAATAAATTGAATAAAACTCATAAAGTGGAATGTAGCTGGATGAGCTTGGTGTGCATGCCAGGGTTATGTATGCCTTTTTAGATATCAGTGACTGATCAGTTCAAAAGAGTTTTGCATACTGCAGGTGTAGAGTGGCAGTGGGTTTGTAGAATATTTAGCGACTGGATGCACACTGCATATGCAGGATGTGGTGCAGTTTTTGGAAGATTTTCTTACAAGTGTGCTGGTATTCTCTTCACTGTGTATTGTTGGTTACTACAATTATTTTCTAAATTTTAGTATGTATATTATGTGTATATGTCTTACATGGGGGCACACAGTAGCGTAGTTGGTTGAGAAACTATGCTACACGCCAGAAGATCGCAGGTTTGATTCCTGATGTGGACACTGAACCCTTTAGTTGATGTAATCCTTCCAGGGTCAACTCAGACTCTAGCATAAATGTCTACCAGGGGGATACAGGGTGGCCTGCATGTAAGCCCAACAACCTCACTGGTATCTGTGAGCCAACTGTCCAGAAAAGTGAGAGCCTTGACATCTCACAACCCTATGGGCCTCCATAGCATTACATGGATAGTTTATTTTTTCTTTATTTGTAAAAAAAAAGGAAAAAATAAAGGTAGCCCTGTAACAGGCCATGGAGGCCCATAGGGTTGTGAGATGTTGAGGTTCCCACATTTTCTAGACAATCGGCTAATAGATGGCGGCACGGTTGTCAGCCCTACGCGCTGGCCACCCTTTACCCCCAAGAATATTCCTGGTACTCATTTCTATTAGAGGCTGAGTCGACCCCAGGGCCACAGTGTGGCCGAAAGATTAGGTCAATCGAAAAAATCCAATGACCTCATTGGGACTTGAACACGTGACCTTCTGGCTTTTAGCATTGTGCCTCAACCAGCTACGCTACCACGTGCCCCTTTCTTTATTTCTATATGACAACTGTGTTTGTGGAGTAGCTGTGGAGTAGCTGTGGACTGCTGGAGAGCAGTGATGGTATACATTCATGTAATCTACCTGAAGATAATCACATTGATCAAAACATGTACCAATTCATTTTCATTCATCAGCAATCTGTCAGACAACAGGTCCACAGTCTCTTCCAAAATAGTTCCTCCACATAACGCGATCTTCTGTTTTTGGAAAGAGACTATCCAAGGAAAGTATAATGTGGTAGTTTTTTCATTTTCTTTCCACATCGCAGTACAATAGCCATTCAAACCACTCTGGTCACGCCTGTTGCTATACGAACTTGAACCATCTCAAGCATCATTTGCTCTGTGCTTCAAGTCGCTGCTGATGACGCTGCTTCCGGCGTCAGTTTTTGGTTTTTGGTGTCTCTCTTCATCTGATGGCTACCCTTTGACCTGTCCAGCAAGGGAGGCCCTGCCAGTAGCTACGTTACCGCTGGTATAGCTCTCAGGGGGCCTTGGCATACTCCAACCCCCTCACCATGATAAGGTGGAGACACCGAGGGGGATCAGCATCGGATCTCTCCTAGGGCTTAGGATCAACTGACTCGTGTGCAACAGCAATATATATAATAAAATTAAATACTAACACATTAATATTAGTTTAATTTATTCATAGAATGCTGTGATGATGGCCATATTAGTACCTTTATGTTGAACTGTAGTGCTGTTACTATGATATGGGGAAAAGCCAGACCACCTTCTGTCATGGAAGACCCAATGTCACCAGCATGATAGGGCAATGAATAACAAGAGGTCCTCATTTGACAAAAATCCAACAATTGGTTGTAATGCTGTTGCCACAATATGGGCAAAACATGATCTATCTTATGCCAGTAGCATATGAGGAAAGATATTGAGAGGACACATAAAACAAACAGAAACAGAATACATGAAAAACAGAGATAAGGAAATATGGAATAAAAGGGTACAAACATAAGCAGAGGCAGGAAATGTTCAGAACAATCTTTATTATCATTACTAAAAATTTACCAAATTTCATCATAATTACAATAGTTTTCTCATGAGGTAAAGAATGAGTAAAGAAACTGATTTAACAGCAAAATTAACAGTTTTTCACCAGTTTTCCTACCTAAAATAAGTAACTGCTGTCTTTACACCTATCCACATTCATTGTTACTTTCCGAGGTACAGAGTATGAATGGCAGATACCATGAATTACATTGTGGGAATGTCCAACAGTTCAACAGACTACTCCTTCAGTGACAAACAGACAGCTCAAACTCCTTCAGTCAGACAGACAGCTCCTTTCCTTTCAGTCAACCAGACAATTCTTACTCCCAGGGCATATCAAGTCACACTGCAACAACGATCAGTCAGTCTCATATTTATACAGCATTCACTGCCCAGCACCCTGGAGATCAACACAGGCGCTGGCCAATCAGCACTCACAATCGCAGCTGCATCCCTAGCTCCACCCAGCAAGCATTGTGTAAAAAGGCAAAGCTCAAAACTGGCTACCATCAGTTTCTCTTCAGTCCACCAATCACAGCCATCATAGTTATGCTGACGTCATGAAACAGCAGCTGTCGTAACTCTCCAGCAACAGCACCAAGACAACGGACTCCGCCAGGGCACACACCATAGGCTGCGGGTCCTACCAGTGCACGCACCACCGCATCACCAGTCAGCCACACCCGCCAGATGGCAATAAAAATTACCTGGGCTGCTACAAAGCAGCAAACTCTACTAGCGCATGCACAGTCGAACAAATGGCCCCTTTCAGGGCCAGCAAATCTTGTGAATAACATACGGTTGAACAACACCCCTTTTCAGGGCCAGCAATCTTGTGAATAATAGATATATATTGAAACGGCTTCCCAGCCATCCTGTACATTTGTAAATAATATTGTAGCATGTTTTTTGCCACTGAACACGCCGTTCGGATTGTTAATTGGTTTATTTAAGAACCTACGAGTCGTAACTACAATTGATTATAACACTGTTGCGGGGTTCCACACTTTATAACCCTATTCGCAATAATCTCTTCACTCTGTCCTCAGTACTCTACACGTATTCACAGTACGGGAGCTATATAAGTGTCACTGTATTACATACTCCCACTTATTACTCAGTGATCATGAACTATCACTGATTATCACACACACGTCCGGTTCTTCTTTCTGCAACTTCTGCGATACTCAAACTATTCGTAGGCCGCTGCCTTGAGAACTGTCTTCGGTGGCTGTGTAGTTCTCTTATAAACCCTCAGCCGGACAATGGAAAACGCCTCGCTTCCTTGTTGCCTAGTCACCATGTGCCGATAGCCTAGCAACGCTGTTGGGAGTTGTTTATGGCTATGTAGCAACTGCAGCGTCCTGTGTTACGTCGCCGCAGGGAGAGAAAGGATGTTGACTGGCTTTGCTTAGCAACCGCTATTTACTCGCTTTGATTAGCGACCAGCGTGCTTGGACTCGGCTCACTTCGGCTCCACTCGGCACGTCGCTGCTGGTGGGGGGGGGGAAGGGCTTCACCTATAGCGCAACACGTCACAATATATACACCTGTTATAGTTTTACGTGCTTCTCTCTTGGAACATCGACATCCCACAACATTTATAAAAAAGATAGTCTCACCTCCAGCTGCTGGATAATTGATAGAATGCTGTAATTATGTTTACCTCAACTTCCTTACTTCCTGTAGCTGCTGAAGATTCAACTTGCACTGCTATGTCACTGTTTTTATTGTCCATATCTGGATCATCTGACTTCTGTAACAAAAAAAAAACAACTAAAATCACAAATAAGCATACACAGGCAGAGGGTGGAAGGAGGAAACACCTGATTGTTACACTAGAAGAGCTAAATACCTTTCATTTAAATATCTATGCCTTATCTACACAACGGGTGAAGCATTACACTCTGAAGTCATTAAATTCATTAATTCTATTTGGAGCAAGGAAGAATTGCCTGATGAGTGGAAGGAGTCCTTACTGTATCAATTTACAAGACTGACTGTAGCAATTATCTAGGAATATCCCTGCTATCAACTTCATACAGAATTTTATCCAATACCCTTCTCTCAAGGTTAAGTTCATATGTAAAGTAAAACCTTTCCCTGTAACAGGCCGTGAAGGCCCATAGGGTTGTGAGATGTTGAGAGTCCCACATTATCTAGACAATGGGCTCAAAGATGGCGGTAAGGTTGTCAGCCTTACACGCCAGCCACGCTTCACTTCCCAGAAAATTATTTAATTAATTCCTGGTACTCATTTCTGTTAGAGGCTGGGTCGACCCCAGGGCCATAGTGCGGCTGGAAGGATTAGGTCAATTGAAAAAATCCAATGACCTCATCGGGACTTGAACCAGTGACCTTCCGGCTTGTAGCATAGTGCCTCAACCAACTACGCTACCGTGTACCCCTAAGTTCACATGTACATGAAATTATTTAGCATTATTATTTGCATTTGTAAGATCCTGGAGAAAAGAATGGGAGTACAATGAGACAGTACATCAGGTATTCAAAGACTTCATGAAAGCCTCTGATTCAGTTAGGAATAAAGTATTGTACAGTATTCTTACAAAGTCTGGAGTACCCATGAAAGTAGTTTTTTCTTTGGCGCTACAGCCCCAATTTAGGCCTTGCCTACCTCCATGAAACTCTCCATTTCACTTTGGTTCACTAGATCTTAGACTTCGGTAGCACTCCTTGAGCAGGTGATCAGCTCATCACAAGGCCTCTACCTGCGTGCGCGCACCCACACATGCACACGCACACACACTAAACATCCATGCCCTGANGGCCTCTACCTGCGCAGGCGCGCGCGCTCGCTCGCTCACTCACTCACTCACTCACTCACTCACTCACTCACACTCACACTCACTCACTCTCACTCACTCACACACACACACACACACTAAACATCCATGCCCTGAGTTGGATTTGAACCCACAATCCTGGCTTCCAAGTAAACGATTACAGTGCCTGCCTTAGACTTCTCAGCTGCCATGACCAGCCAAGAAAGTAGTTAGGCTGATCAAAATGTGTTTAAATGAAACCCATAGCGAAGGTAAAACTTTGTCTGAAACGTTTCCTATCCAAAATAATCTCACAAGGAGATCCTTTGTCACCATTCCTTTTAAACTTTTCTTTAGAATATGCCATTAGGAAGGTCCAGGAAAAGCAGATGGGACTGCAATTAAATTGTATAAATTAGCTGTTGGTCTCTGCTGAAGTAAATCTACTGGAAGATAACATAGATAACACAACAAAAAACCCATAAACTCTGACGATAGTAAGGAGGTTGGTCCAGGAGAAAAAACAGAGAAAACTAAGTATATGTTGAAAGCAGTCTTCCGGGATTTGGCACCATGTATATGTGGCGTTAACCGACGTTTTGGAGGAATGTATCACCTCCATCTTCAGGGCAGACTGCTTTTACCGGTTCTCACGGCCTCTTTGCTTGCGGATTTCTTATATTTTTCCTTCTACCCTGAAGATGGAGGCGATACGTTCCTCCGAAACGTCAGTTAACACCACATATACACGGTGCCAGATCCCAGAAGACTGCTTTCTTCATAGTCACCACCGTGAAAGCCTCAAATCTTACTAAGTATATGTTGTCTCATCACCAGAATGCTGGGCAAAATCATAACATAGGCACAGTCCAAATATTTTGGAATGACAGTAACAAATCAAATTTTGATTCAGGAGGAAATTAAGAGCAGACTGAATTCAAGCAATGATTGCTACCATTCAGTCCAGAACCTTCTGTCTTCTTGTCTGCTGTCTAAACATGTAAAAATCTGAATACATACAACTATAATTTTGCCTGTGGTTTTGTATGGGTGTGAAACTATGTCTCTGATATTAAGGGAAGAACACAGACTGAGGGTATTTGAGAAGAGGATGCTGAAGACTCTGTTCAGGCCAAAGAATGATGAAAAGAGAGGAGGATGAAGAAAACCACATGAGGAGCAGCTTCGTAACTTGTACTCTTCACCAAGTATAATTAGAATGATTAAGTCAAAGAGGATGAGATGGGCAGGGCATGTAGCTTCAATGGGGAGAAGAGGAATGCATATAGGATATTGGTGGAAGAGCCCGACAGAAAGAGACAACTAGGAAGACCTAGATGTAGGTGGGTGGCTAATATTACAATGGATCTTAGATATATAGGAAGGGATGGTATGGAGTAGATTGATCTGGCTCTCGATATGAGGCCAGTGGAGGGCTGTTATGAACATGGTAATGAACCCTTGGGTTCCATAAAACATTGAAAAATTCTGAGTTGCTGCACATTGGCAGCTTCTCAAGGACTCAACTCCAGGTAAATATTATCTGCATCAAAGTAAAGTCTAGGCCCTACATCAGAGATGACACATCATTGGCATTGACTAAGATATCTGCTGATGCCAGTGATTACAGCCTTCGCCCATATTGATAACTCCAGCCACTTCAAACTAATTCACTAAGCCATAATTCTTTCACATCAAATACATGTTTGTTGCTATTTTATGTATCCATCCAAAATATGGAAAAGTATGGCTATGCTGATGAATACAGCTCCAAGAAAATATCTCATATTATCTTGTCTTTTATTTTGAAACTGCCAAATACACAAAGTGAAATGTAAAAAGAACTCTACAAATGAAATAATTGCAGTGTCACTCTCAGAACACACACAATGGAACCTGTGAATCTGACCAAATGTTCATAAAATTAGCAAAATATTAACAGAAGTCAAACCCCCTTCAACTTGAATTTCAATGTTGTATCCTGTTCACCTTCCAGTACTTTATGTCATGGTTCTGTAGATATTTCAATTTTTCAATGTTGGCCATAAAATGCGTACAAACGAAAAAGTCTCATCCCCCTCTTTCACTCATATATACCTGCTACAGAACCTTTCTGCCACTTCATTGTGACTGCCAATCGAGTTCTTACAATCAGGAGCAGCATACCATTCCTACCTGATGGCAATTTCTGGAATTTTCAAGAACCTTCCACCATTCAACAATTCTTATGCAGTTGCTTCTGTAAAGTGAAGAATTGTTTCAGGACAGGCAAGATAGTGAGGGAGTCACCCCTTATTCCTATCCTCTTCCCTTGCACCTCTAATAGACATTTAAGAGCCAAACAATGAAATTCTTCTTAACAGAATAAGGTACTCTAAGTAAACTGTGGCACTGTCTAAGATACAAAATCACAGAATTATCCATAGTCAGGAATCTGACACAGTGTACAATGTATGGAAAATCATGTCTGAAGAAGCACTCTCACCAAAGAAAAAATGTATCTAAGCAGAAACATTAAATTATGTTTCCAGGACAGATGATACACGTGCCAGCATGTCTGCTCGCTCCCTCCATCCATCCACCCTATCACCACCATGCCTCTCATACCATACAAGTAAAGTTATCCCTGGTCTTAATTAATTAACCACCACACTGTGAAGACATGATGCTGGGGGAGTGGAGGTATAGCTCCACAATTCTTAACCTTGTGAGGTGAGGGGTCAGCTTCACAACCACCACCCTCTGCTTTACCCTCCCTGGGAAAAGACCCCCAGTACCCATTGTATAGCAGGCTGGGTGGGCCTCAGAGCCAGTCTGAATGTTATGGAGAAGAGAAAAATCTCTTGCCTCTACTGGGAATCAAACCCCAACTCCTCGATCATCCATGCTGGAGCCCAGTGGCTATATCAACTGAGCTATCCCAACTCTCATATATCAACCTTTCAGCAAGCTGTATATGCACACTAAAGCTTTAAGACTGCAACTGGCCTCTATGGGTTAAAATGAAAACAAACAAGGCTATACAGACACAGAGCAAGCCCCTGTAGTTACAGCTGTATATACTGATCCTGGTGTAGTTTCTGCTTATACAACCAGGAAACTGACAGGGGCTAAGGACAACTGAAAATACAAGTGAATGGCAATAAGGTAATGGGGGAAGCTGGTCAGCTAATTGAAATATCCAAGAGGATACCTTGGAGATAATCAGTTTTAAGTTGAAACTCATGTATCCTTCAATTGTGGTCTTCTGGATTGTGACACCAAGCAGCGGTGTCCTCTTACATGAATACCAGTGTTTCAGAAGGACACTCTGCATCCATCTTCAGGGTCACATCATGCAGTCTTTTAAATGGATATAAAGATTCTGGAGTAATATGTTGCCTCCATGTTATTTCTTATGTCAATATTACAGTGATGATGACAGTAACTTTCCCAGTTCTCAAGTCTGCATGGCTGGCCAGTACATAAATAAAAGAGAGATGTAAAGTACCTAGATGGGATGGCCACCTGAGACATGTTATTGGTATTGGGTTTCATTAACATATATCAGTAAGGCCATAATTATGTCAGAAGACAAAACCTGTATATCATCAACAAGGTTCCAAAGAACTGACTCTAGTCTTTAGGAGCACCACAAAATGATGGATACTGAAAGAACATACTGATCTATACATCACCTACAGGCTACATTTACTAACCTTCCACAAGGGTAAAACAACTGAAAAAAATAATAAAATCTTTGTTTTCACATGATTTTAAGGTAAAATCTGATAGCTGTGCATGTTTGGAATGTAATAATTAAAAATACGTTTTTTTTTTAATTTTAAAACTCAAGAAGTTCACTTGTGTAATAATTCCAGGTGAGATGAGTCTTTTAAAACTACAGTGTAAAATAACACTCTATCCCATAGTGCACTTTTTACATTATTCATGTTACTGCACAGGTGCACTTGCTAATATGTGGGGAAGTCAT